TTTTTTTCATTATTGCATCTCGTTTTTGTGAAAATAACCCACCTTAAAGGACTATCTGTCGTTTTCTTGTTTGCCACAGTGGACGAAAAAAGTCAGTTATTCTACGACGTTTCGTAATTCTTTATCACTAAAAATTAACAAACACTCGTTTTGACGCACTCCGTTCTGTTGTGTGTGTGTGTCTGCTGTTGAAAACAACCTTCCTAATTTTGTGACTGGCTATGATGATTGAGATGGACCATGTTGATTTATTAATAATATTTTGTTTGGGATGGAAAAAAAGGAGTCAATTTCCCAAAAAATGCTCCATCAGCAAATAGGTTAGTGTGCGCTGTGGACAGTATGGCTATGGAATTTACTAACCACACAGTCCAGAATCAGGTGATTAAGTCGCAAAACTTTAGCTGCATTTGGTGGATTAAGCCGCAAAACTTTAGCTTCGTTTAGTGGCGCCATTTACTCTAGGTAGACGACGGCGACCAGTTTCGTTACCGGTACCGGTTGGTACATTCTTACAAACATTCAGGCAAAGGCCAGTCAAAGTTGAGACGGGAGCCGGGTTTTTATCGATGTTTGCCATCCTTATATGTAAGCCATCGTAAATTCATGGTTTGCCGGAGTTGCGTTCAATTTAAATCTCCGAACTTCTGAAGCTGAGATATTCTATGAATGAAGGCTTGTATCGCAGGCTAGAATTTAAAAACGGGTTACCAAATAATGAATTAGGTGCTAAATTTTGATTTAATGCTGGGTAAGTTAAAAACAGACATTCCATCCGAGTGGGACTCATTCAAAAATTTGAGGGGGTTCGCTAGAAAACGGGGGTTCGCCCGAACCATAAAACACCCCCCCCCCCCAAACTGGCTACGGGCCTGACAACCACAGAAACTTATGGAGCTACAACAACAATATCTTAAATACTCAAATTTTAACCTCTGTTTTTTATTATGTGTGTTTGTATTTATTGAAATGAAAATGTTGCTGTCAGAAATATTCTTTTATGGACAATAAAGAAATATTGAATCTTGAATAAGTGCCGCGGCGCTTTTAAAATTTTTAAAGGCTTCGGTGCGGCGCTTATTCGAGACCTAAGCATGACGAATGAACTGAATCAACAATTACGAAATTACATGGTAATTAGTACCCCTACTGGAAATTCAGTGTTCTTTAATAATAAAAAGACACTCTTTAACGGGAGTCTCGCTGGCGCGATTTTTATCCAATGTCGTTATTTAATTAAAAAAGTTGTTTTAAATAATCGCAGGGCTAGCATTATCTAACAACTAAGTAGATTACTTTAATTGGTGCTAGAGCTCCCAACCTTGGTTCGGTTACTGGGTGGCTGGTTTAGTATAATGTCGTGTGTCCGCACAAAGGAAGAGAAAATGACATGGAAACACTGAAGTGTGAGAGGGGTATTAGTTAAAAGAGCAATCAATTAGGTGCATTTGTGCTCAAGAATTCTGCATTCAATCTTCTTAAATGCATCTTTTTCTTTTTATTATTATTTTTAAAAACTGAGATGAGATCTTATTGTCCTATTATATTTTATTATTATTATTATTATTATTATTATTATTATTATTATTATTATTATTATTATTATTTTTATTATTATTATTATTATTATATTATTATTATTATATTATTATTATATATTTTATTATATTGTTATATTATAGGCCTATTATTTTATTATTTATTTATTATTATTCTCTAATCATTGCAGTTTTATTTTCAACGTTCTTGTCTGTTATGTGGTGGTATACAGTATGTTGAATTTTACTCAATGTCATGCGTCCACTCTTACTCAGTCCATTCATTGGTGTGGAGCTGCTCAGTATTCAGTGCTTCCTTTACAGTCCCAGAAGTTTCGACAACTCCTCCCCCTTAACAGTTCGCTATTGACGTATTCTTGGCCCATGTGCATTAAACTTATATATTTAAAAAAACAAAACAAAAAGCAAAAAAAAAAAAAATTCTGTTTATCGCAAACTTCAATAAATGAATAAACGAAGATATAAATTTAATATTAAAATAGAAATGGCATTAAAAGCACTTTAACCATGTGCCTCTAACAAAATTGAACACAGTTTTGTAGTTACAAACATTACCACAATGCCAATGAAATCCATCATTAAAATCTTATTAGTTCTCTTAATTAAGATTTCTAGTTTGTAATAGGCCTCACAACACATTTATATGTATATTTTGAAAGCACTGGTAGCGATCC